CTCTTTTCTCATATACAGAATTTCTCTTGTCGCTCAGATTTTATTTTGGGTGGGATGAGTAAGAACACCATTGGGCTGAGCTCGAGCTGGGCTCACTGGGAATGACTGGTTCTTCTATGTGCGGTAGCCCTGTAATTACTTGGATGAGTAGATTTAGTCATTTCGCCATTTGATTTTTCTTTCCACTTTTTGGGGTTTTGGAAGGAGGGGCGGGAGGTTGAGGAGGATAAGAAGCTGTTGCTTTCATCCGGCTTTTGGATCCATCGGTCCGGTTTACTTCTCTGTGCTTTTTACCAAATCATACCCTCAATCAGTTTAGGTATACTGTGATGGTTAACGATATTATAAATCTTATCTAGTTATTTGTTGCTTCCTTGACCTTTAATTCTGTTTTGGACTTCATGTTTCTGTTTTCTAGAAGATCTGAGATGAATGAATTGATAATTTGCGGTAAAGTCGTATCACATCTATTATCTTGCCTTATAAGTTAGTTGGTTTAGGAGACTGTTATTTATTAATTGAAATGTTTTGATAATGGTTAGGGTAATTTGAACTACCTTACTTGAATAGAATCTGTTATATAGGTTGTACTACTGTATCCTCGAGTTCAGAGTTAAGAACTGGGAAGTTCTTTTAGTTGCATAGTTCTTGAAAATGGAGAGACGGGTGGCAATTTGGAAGAGGTTTTTCTTTTTCGCTATTCCTATTTATCATTGAAGGGGGGTGGGTTTTGCTTATTTGTAAGTGTTTCTGTCTTTAAACCTTTTGAAGTTTCTATTATGTGTTTTTATATGGTTCGTTGTTGGCTGATTCAGGAATTTGAAAGTCTTGGACTTGCGAGATAGCGATGTTGATGATCTGAATGGACATTGGCTCAGCCATTTTCCTGATTCATATACGTCACTAGTATCCCTCAATATTACTTGTTTGCAGTCTGAGGTGAGTTTTTCTGCATTGGAGCGTCTCGTGGAGAGGTGTCCAAACTTACAGACACTGCGGCTCAATCGTCCTGTTCCCCTTGCTAGGCAAGCTAACCTACTTCGTCACGCACCTCAACTGGTTGAGTTTGGTGCTGGATGTTACACAGCAGACATGAGATCTGATGTTTTTTCCAACTTAATTGGAGCATTTTCAAACTGCACAGAACTGAAGTGTCTATCTGGATTTTGGGACGTCGTCCCTGCATACCTTCCTTCTGTTTATCCGACTTGCTCTCGGCTAACATCCTTAAACTTAAGTGAAGCTATAATTCAAAGTGACGATCTTACCAAGCTTATCAGTCAATGTCATAATTTGCAGAAGCTTTGGGTATCTCTTTTTTCTTACAACTTTTCTCCCATTCTATTATTGCATTTTAGTCTTTATTATGTTCTTAAATTCAAGATGCATTGTAACTGCAGGTGCTGGATTACATTGAAGACGCTGGCCTTGAAGTACTTGCAGATACATGCAAGGATCTTCGGGAATTAAGAGTATTTCCCTCCGAACCTTATGGACGAGAACCAAATGTCTCTCTCACAGAACAGGGTCTCATCTCTGTTTCTGAAGGTTGCTCAAAGCTACAATCTGTTCTGTACTTCTGTCGTCAAATGACAAATGCTGCTTTAGTGACCATTGCCAGGAATCGCCCGAACATGACTCGATTTCGTCTATGTATTATGGAGCCAGGAACTCCTGACTACCTCACAAATATGCCACTTGATGTAGGCTTTGGTGCCATTGTTGAGCATTGCAAAGATCTGCAGCGCTTTTCTCTTTCTGGTCTTCTTACTGATCGAGTTTTCGAGCTTATAGGAACTTATGGCAAGAAGCTAGAGATGCTATCTGTGGCATTTGCTGGCGATACTGATTTAGGACTTCACCATGTGTTGTCAGGATGCGATAGTCTCCGCAAGCTGGAGATTAGGGACTGTCCTTTTGGCGATAAAGCTCTTTTGGCCAATGCTGCAAAGCTCGAGACAATGCGATCCCTTTGGATGTCTTCTTGCTCGGTGAGTTTTGGAGCATGCAAATTGTTAGCTCAGAAGCTTCCCAAACTTAACGTCGAAGTTATAGATGAGAGGGGTCCCCCAAATACAAGGCCTGAAAGTTGTCCCGTTGAGAGACTTTACATATACCGAACTGTTGCTGGGCATCGGTTCGACATGCCTGGTTTCGTATGGATGTTGGACGGAGATTCTGCTCTAAGGCTTGATGCAACTCTCGCCAACCCGGGATCGAAGCCCTAGTAAGTGAAAGCTCACATAATGGGAATGAAAGATGGTAGGTACATATGGCCCTTCCTGCTATTTACTGCTCCTAATGTAGTTCTCTGTGTCAATAACCTAATTTGCAGCTCTAATTTAAATGGAGTGAGGAGGTACATTTACCATTTTCAGAGGCAGAGCAACTCCATTCCATTCCATTGCCATTCATTTTATACTTTGGCTGAGCTGTGGGGGGAATAGACAGCATTTAGTCATCAATAAAGATAGTGAAGTTCCTTCTTCTTTTTCCTCTTCTTCTTCCTTTTCTTCAATTGTACCGCACCCGAAACTGATTTATGGTGAATTCGTAGTTGCCGTGTATACTATGGCCAGATTATTTTGCCCTTTGATTGTATGTTAATTAGACATTCATTTCAGATCTCAACAGAACTCTTTGTTCTTGTCCTTTCTAAATCCTTCTTGGTTTCTCATTGTCTTGTTCATTATTCTGTCGGTCGAATCCCGAATACCGTAATGGATTATTACAAACCCTTTGAGATAAAACCAGAGATTTCAGAAGGTGGTGATGATATGGTAAACAAAAAGGCATAAAGAATGTGTTCTGTTGAGACTGTTTGGAATCTTCTCTTTTTGGGTCTCTTTTTCTCATGAAGCTGACTCAGTTTTTTCTTCATTTTGGTTGATGGGTTTCTGTATTTAGCAGCAGAAGAAGCAAAAACACCTGATGAKATTTCCAAACAAGCAGAGGATTTAGAGGAGAGAGAGAGAGAAATTTGAAAGTAGGGCAAGAGAGAGAGAGAGGGGCAGATTTTGAAATGTGGGGAAAAAGGAAAAAGCAGGTCAAAGAGACGAATCTGTTTTCTGTGAAAAAGTGGGTTTGTGGTTTGTCAAATTGCAGACAGATTTATTGGTTGATGATGCCCACACGTTGCCTCTTCTCTTCTTCATTCTCTTAATTCCCTTTTTCTTTTATATATATTTATTTATACACTTTCCATTAGTCATTATACTTCTCTTTTCCTCTCTAAATGATTAACTTAATGTTCTTTATCTCATTTAAATACTGATTATGTTTCTTTTTAGTAGGGGTTGGAATCCGAGCTCACGATCTCTAGTAAGAGATATATGTTTTAATTAGTTAAGTTATACTTAAGTCGTCAAATGCTAATTAAGTGAGAAAGAACCTTTTTTTATCATTGTACTTTTGAACTAATAATTTATTTAATTCATATACTTTCAAATTGGTAACTGCGTATTATATATAAAATTGGTTAAAAAACACATTTGGTCTTTGCACTTTTATTGAAGTAATAATTTAGTTCCTGAATTTTAGTTTGTAACAATTTAGTCCTTGAATTTTAGCTTGTAATGATTTAGTTCCGCTAGTTTAAAATTTGTAACAATTTAGTTCTTATCATAAAAAATTTATTAAAATTAAGTGTTAAATTTTATCATATAACAATTTAAGCTTTCTAAATTTATAAACATGTTTAGTTTCTCTTCAGTTTATCAATCTATATATATAAGAAACTTAATAAAAAAGTTTTACGATAAGGACTAAATCATTGTCAACTTTAAATTACAAAGACTAAATTGTTACATATTAAGGTTGAAGGACTAAATTGTTACCAAATTTAAATACAAGGACTAAACCATAACAAATTAAAGTTGAGAGACTAAATCGTTACTTTAGCGAAAATACAAAGACCAAAAGTGCTTTTTAACCTATAAAATTTTAGAGTGCTTTTAAGAGATGATAAGAGATGGAAACTAGTGTGTTTTTAACTCATGCGTACGCTTTTTTGTCACATAAAAACAGTGACAAACAGAACACTAATTCAAACACTTAGCAAATTTATATGATCATTGTACGCTTTTTTGTCMCATAAAAACAGTGACAAATAGAACWCTAATTCAAACACTTAGCAAATTTATATGATCATTATCTATTTTTAATGATAACAGAAATTTTGCCTTGAACAAATTAATTTTTTACTACATTTTTAGTATACTCAGTGGGTTTTTAGGAGTGAAATGATAAAGAGATGACAACTAATGTGCTTTTAACCCCATGTGATTTGAATTTTAGAATGTAATAATTTAGTTTCTATAATTTAAAACTGCAATAGTTTAATTTTCATCGGTAAAAAATCTCATAGCACTTGTAATTTATAGATACCTTGTCGATTTATCTATCTACACATAAGAAATTCTATCAGATCTTAACAATAATTTTGATGATAGTGACTGATATAAATTTTAATCTTATAGATTAAATTGTTATAAATTACAGCTGAARGGCTAAATCGTTATAAGTTAATGTTTGGGGACTAAATCATTTCTTGAACTTGGCAGTTTTGTCTACCATTTTGAYTGTGTCTTTTGAACTTTTGTTTTGATTTTAATAAGTCCGTTATTAATATTGTTGAGTAAATAGTATACTTTTGATGCATTGATTGGACTAACAATTGATGATTGATGATTTAGTTGATTGTGATAWAGAAGAAGATTGAGTAAAATAAAGATAAGCAAGCTCTGATGGGGAGGATGGGAAGGAAGAATACGTTATAAAYCGTAATATTTGTTGCCGGTTCAATAGGTGCACGCCAACGGCATCTATTAGAATTAAAATTGAAAGTTAAGTAACGCAATTAAAACGTTTAAAGTTGAATAATTGAACAAACAATCATCTAAGTTTATAATTTAACATATTTTAATAATCCTCTACCTTTTCTCTATAAAAAAGCTCCTTGAATGAGAATTGTTTTCGATGGCGATTTTATTAGGGATGCCCAAAAATTCTTTTTTTTTTTTATCCTATGTAATGCTAACTAATTCAAAACTAAATATTAATTTACTATCATATCATTTAACAATTAAATCTATCATTATTGAATAGTGAAATTTGTTAATTTAGTTCCTTTTTAGCCGAACAAATGTAAGGTATGAATTTAAATATCTAACCTATAAAATGGATGTATGGTACTTAAATCAATTGAACTATATTTAGGTTCGTTGAATTATTGCTGGATATTGTAAAACTTGGAAGGGAGAATTTGATGAAGCACAATCAACCAATGGTTGAACAAAGTACCTAAATGAGACCAAAGCAGTTTTCTTGGGAGGAAATGCATATGAAATATCCATTTCCACATTAATACCTACCTCATGATTTACTATTATGCTTCTTACCCATTCTCGTGTTTGAATATTATTTTTAACAAGTCTTCAAATTTTCTTTCCTCTATCAGGGACTTCCACCAAATGAAAACGGGCAGCATCGTCGTATGCTCGATATTTGTTGTCTTGGTTTATATCTCGGGAAAAAAAGAGAGAGTTCTAAACCTAAATAAACATCCAAATTGCCCATCAACCTCAATATTACGTTCGTTCAATAGAATTCTCTAATAAATTCATGAATTTTTTATTTTGTGCCGAACGGGTCCCTAATTTATTGTACATTTTTAAAAATCATATTTTGTTGTGTCTGATAGTTATTTGAATTCTAAAAAATGTCTCTAAGTCATATTTTTTATTTGACACAAAATTGAAAGATAAAAAGACTWCGAAACCTAATTTAAGGTTTAAAAATTTATTACACTTCAATTTTTTTTTTTTAATATCTCGTTACTGTCAAAACACAATTTCAAACTATATATAAACTAATTCTTTCTTAATCGTTTAAACTTTCTTTTCAAGTGTAAGTACACAAATTTAAAATTGCCAACACCCAATTAAGAGTTGTAATTAAAAACCTTTTAAAAATGACCAACACCTAATTAAAAATCCTTCAAAAATCTTCAATACCTAATAAAGATTCCTAATTAAAAATCCTTCGAGAGTGGGAGAAAAGAAAAGAAAAATCAAGCTCCTCCTAGAACCATCAAAGTTGGTTTTCATTATATTATATTCCAATTTCACTAATTAAAGAATTCAATAAAAAACTTTTGGTAAATTTAATTGAATTAGTTAAGTTATAAACACAAAATGGGTTTGATTTTACCTTATCAAATTTACAATTTCAGCTTGCATTACTTGATCTATGCAATTTTTCCTCAAATTAATCACCAATTTCAATCTTACTCTCGTAAATATTTGTAAAATTTCAAGTAAAATCATCATCCATTCTTAAACATCTCATTCCTACATAAACTCCGAGCCAAAGCCGAGTAGGAAACTCGAGTTCGGACCCTATTAATCAAAGGGTGACCCTTTTTTTCCCCTTCATAAACAAAACAATGAAGAATAAAGGGAAAAAAAAATAAGGCAACTACACCCAATTCCCACGCTAAAAAACTTGAAAATAATTAACAAAGACCAAGACTTTTCTAAAGTCCACTCGTCATATAGGGCCCCCCTTTTAGGTCAGCTATTGGCATTATCAGTATAATTATTTCTTTATTAACCAGAGGAAAGGATTCAAGAGGCTCACATTTGAGGTTTGTTGGAGAAGAAGGCTTCTGCTCTGTAAATCTGATGGGGAAGCTTTGTTGCGCAGATGGTGGTGATGATGGATTGGATCTAACGGGAGTTCTGATGGTCATTGTTATAGCTTTAACCCTCATGGTCATCTGCCAGCCTCAACCGCGCCGAGTTATCCTCGTGCCACGCTGCCCATGAGATTCAACTCCGATCCGATCATCCTGAACCTTCCAAGTTTGTTTTATGATATGTTATATGTATGTTTGATTGTAGATTCAACTTTCCATTTCAGAATCTTATTTGATACTGTAATATGTTAGATAATCTTAATTTTTCATCAGAAACCAATAATAATAAGAGAGGATACTGAATTGTTTCATTCTCTAAAAACCTTCATGTGATTGATGCGTCTCAAACATCCAACAATTCCGGTGGCTTTCTACGTTGTGGAATGCTCGTTTAACCTTTGTATTCACATCTCTTTCCTTATTTACTTGGGTGCACAGCGTTTTCAAAAGCTTCTAATCAAACCACGTAATTGTATATTAATGAGTTTAGAGAGAGAGAGAGAGAGAGAGAGAGAGAGAGAGTTACGTGGTAACACAAGTCATCCATGTCTTGTCATGAATTCTTTCATCCTATGAAGCTCGATTCTTGGGAAGTCAGGAGAACTTCGGGATACGATTTTCAACCTCACAATTGATCCTGAAAAGGTAACAACATAGCGTTAAAAACGAGCAGGGAGTGTAGAAATAGAATATGAAAAAGTTTTTAAGGTTCTTTTTATAACTCAACTATAGTATTGGATGCCCCACCCAACTGCTCTGCAAAGAGACTTTACGTGTCTCAACACCAACAGCAAAAGATAGGAATATTTTCTTATTGAACATTTCACTAAAATCCAAAACCTTAACCAAGGGCCGGCAATATGATCATATCAAAGCATATATAATATGGATCTCATTTGGATTCCATTGTAAATTAATACTCTAGAATTTGATTGTATACAATAAACCAAACTAGAAAAGTACAAAAGTGAAATATACACCCTAGAGCGACAAAAGAAACTTCTTTCACAAACTCGAGTAAGAAACAACCGAACTCAGTGGTTCGTTGAGGCTCCAATAGTCTCCAAAAGATGCTCGATCCGGTACTTCATAACTGGCTGACCTTTTTGTGTCCTTTTGAACAATTTCTCCCTCGTGGAGTTTCGTCTAGCTTTAGCCCTTTCTCGTTCTTCCTTTTTTGCTGCAATATTAGCTTCTTTCTCCATTCTTGCTTTCTCTTTCTCTTGATGCTTCCTCTCATACAGCCCCTGAAGACTAGGTACGCCTTTATTCCTTTCTTTCCCACATCTTCCATTCGTATGATTCTTGTACTGAGCTTCGTCTTCACCCTTTAATAACGGGTAAGAAAAAGAATCACTCCATAGTTCAAGCGGAAGAACATTCTATACACATCATATTATTCTTTTCATAACAATAATGGAATAAGACAGATGCTCACTGGGTTCAAGAAATTATTTGAGATAGGAACAGTGTGGCTGTTAATTCTACATGATTGGATGTATGAGAGAGAAATCGTAAAATGTATTTTGAACCCGTGGGGACATACACATTTTGAATATGCATCTCTCATTCAATCCTTTTTCCATTGGGTTCATGGTCTGTACTCAAATCACACTCATAAAATAGTGACAGAGGCACCTCAAATAACTTCAAGAAACAAAAAGAAACAAGGCTCCACTCTCTCTCTATGCAGGAAAACTTGCAGCAGATTGTCATATGAAATATTTCAGTTTTCCGAAAAAAGGGCTCTCAAGGCTCACCAAGTAATGTTCCAAAAAAAAAGCTCACCAATAATTGTAGCTAAACAAACATAATTGAAATTTTAGGAGGTATTAAAAACTTATCATAATGGTCCTACCTGGACAAGTCCAACAGTTGAGCTAGAGGACTTCTCATTCTGCTGATTCTGTTTCTTTACTAACTTCTTGTACTTGCCAACATGTTTAGCATTCTTATAGAACTCTCTTTGCTTTTCTGCACACAGATTTACATATATGAGATTCAAAGTCAAGCACTCAGAAGGAGCATTAAATTTACAACCCAGCATATTACCAGAACAAATTCACATGTTTTCAGTCTGTAATACCCAAATATCAAATTCCGTATAACAAACCATCAAACTAGATTTAGATTGAACACACGAATGCAATTTTTTCTCTACAATTATCATTTTCCGCCCCAAAATCGGAATTCCCAAAACACTTCAAAGCACGTATCAAATTCACGACGCCACTTGTTAGACGATTAAACATAGAAACCCAAACCTAGGTTTCACAGAACTACAGAAGAGCGAGCAATAACAAAAACCCAGGGCTAAATACCGGCAATCAAAACAGAAAGAAGTAAAAGTTAAGTAAAGTTAAGCAATATCATACTTATCAAAGCTGGATTATAGTAATCGCTACTCGATTTCGCATTCGCAAACGCCTCTAGCGAAAGGCCCTTCCCACCCAACCGTTTCATGTTCTTGATCTTGTTCTTGTTCTTCACAAATTTTGGTTTCGGACCATTCTGTTCGTCGTTTCCAGTGCGCTTCTTCATCGTTGATTGACTGCAACTGTGAACAATTAGGGCAAATCAGAGACGGAAGCCGAGGACCAGGGGAAGGCCGGGTAGTGATTCTCTGCGGTCGGATGTTCGATAAGTTTAAAACACGTCCAATTACAATTCGAAACGTTACAACTCTTGTTAACATAATTTTTTTTTGGTTGTCTACTTTTCCCATAGATTGTACTTTAATGCCCTTTAAAATAAAAGTTTTGGAATAAAATATTTTTTTTCAAATCCAGATCAAGATTTCAAATGTGAAAATATCAAAATTTCAATTTATTGAAAACATTGATGAAAATATGGATAAAATGTCGATGTCAATGGATATTTCTCTAAAAGTTAGAAAAATTAAAAAAATTGTAACAAATATTTAAATTAACAAATAAACATTTTCCTATTTCTAAAATTAGTTAAAAATAATTAATATTAATATTACGTATATATTAGTGACATCTTGTTGATTTTTTTTTTTATATTTTGTCAATTTTTTTGTACTATAATGGAAATGTCGATTTACTCCTCGTATCGATGTCGAACGTATAAAAATATGGATATGTTGATGTAAATGTTGACATGTCAATAGATATTTAGAACCATGATCCAGATTTTGACTTGTTTTTATTTGAACATGAATTTCAAGAAATAAATTTAAATTCATAACTTCAAACTTACATAAATATTATAATTTTTATCTGTTTATTCAATTTCTGCTGATTTACGGCCTATTAATTTAAACAAAAAAAATTCTACAAAAAATTTATTAATTTAATACAAATAAAAATTAAAGTTTTAATTAATTCCTAAAATCCCCCATTAAATAACCTTGTCAAAATATTTAAATTTAAGAGAGTAAAAAATTTAACTTTAATGGTCTTTTTTGTTTAAATCCTATCCATTTCATATCAAAATTTATGTTTTTTTTAACACATTTGATGAATATTTTTTCCTAACAATTTTTTAAATGAAAATTTTGACACTAAATTGCAACAGTTATCCAAAGTATAAATATACGTTTCTAAATTCACATTTAAAATTGATATTTTTATATTATATTTATGTGTATTTGTGCCCTTCCCATCAAATTTTGGATCTAATTTGTTATTAAATAAAACTTCCAATTACTTTCTATACTTTTAAAATTCTCCGATCCAACTTGGAAGATTAATTTTCAAGTTATTTCTTGAACAGTCTTATAATTACAATCATTATTAAAAATGGTACCATCTTAATCACGATAGTTAATTGTTTTGGGTCCAAATTTTTAAAATAATTAAAAAGAAAAATCATGTAGATACCAACAAGAGATATAATTCATCCAAAACATAGGAATAAGACTTATATTATTTTTCCTAAAGTTAGGAGGTTTAATCTTCAATCCTGTATTTATTGAACTTCAAAAAGAATATCTTTATTATTATACACACTTTTCTCACTTATTAGTTAAATGCAATAAAAACACACTACATACAAAGGCGAACACGCTTATCTTCTTATTCAATATTTGCAATCCGTAAGATATATCTATAAAATTGTGTCTTAAAGATGATGTAGTAGCAAAGACATGAAACCTTGTGGTATTACCTACTATGAAGTTTTATGTTCGAGTCCTACACTAATCATTATGTTGTTAGCCCAAACAATGAATTCCAGTACTAAGGATTCATTAACGTAAGTTACACGATATTCAATTTCAAAAAATAAATAAAAAAAGATATATCTATAAAGTTAACTTCAAAAGAGTCTATATCTTGTGGTATCACCAACCATGAGGTCTTGAATTCGAGTCCTACGTTGGTCAACATAAGTTACACAAAAAGATATATCTATAAAGTTAACCCCAAAAATGTCCAAACTTCCATCAAATCTAACCAAAAGATAATAGCAAATAACCCTACAAACAAAATTCATGAAGCTCTAGTAATGGATTAGAAGTTGTTAGTGTTCATGAAATACTGATCATAATTGACATAATCAAAGTGATCATTATTGAGCTGAGAAGAGGCAGCATTAATATTATTGGCCAAACCCATCTGATGAGAATTTGAAGAAGCATTGGCCATCATCACTTGATCATCACTCAGCTGCATGTATGGCAGTGGAAGAACTGAGTATGCAGGAACAGGAAGAGGAACTCCATAGTTGAACATTGAGTAATAATTTTGGCTCTTCTCCATGGTCATTGTTGGAAAATTATTGTAAATATTTTGGCTTTGGAAACTCCCATAATTCAACTGAATTTGAGAGAGGTTATTGTGATCAACAAGTTCATGATGATCCATTGTTTGGACTTGAAGATTTTGGTATGGTATAAGATTGGTATGTGTTTGTGTTTCCACTCCTATGGAGCTCCCAAACATCATCGTTTGTTCTTGTTTCATGTTTGCGTTGACGGTTATTTGCCCGCTCCCCGAGGACGTCCCCTCCTCGAGATTCTCTTCCATCGCTACCTCGATCCTTCTCTTTGTCGCGTCCAGCTTCGAGTCCAATTCTGCCATTAGAACCCGCAACTGGTCTTCCAATAGATAGTCCAAGCGCTCGTCCCACTTCGGGAATCTAGTATCAACATTAAATCAAATTTTTTGGGTTTAACTGTAATTTAAATGTGATTTATTTCCTAATTGACACATGCCAAAGCCACCTAGTAATGGATTTTTATTTCTAGCCAAGAGATTATGAGTTGGATCTCCCACTCTCACGTGTTGTACTCAAACAAATTAATAGTTGACACGTGCCGTACCTGGCTTGTGCAAGGTCCTTGTGAAGCTTAGAGATGTCGCATTCGATCTTCTTCTTGCGCTCGGAGAAGAAGTCGAGGAGATCGAAAGGCTTCCGAGCTCGTTTATGGAGGCAATTGGCTCTATAAGAAGCGATCATGTCATCGACATCGTCTCGAGAAGGCGGCCAAGTGTGAACCTCGACCGGAGACCGGTCGTTCTGGTTGGGGCCGTAGATGAAAACGCAGGTGCGGATGTCGCAGAGCGTGGAGAGTTCATACGCTTTTCTCATCAAACTTTTCTTTCGCTTCAAGAAAGTCGTCTTCCGAGATTTCTCATTGGAGATCAGTTTCATGCACAGTTTCCCTCTCCCCATTATTCCACAAATCAAATTTCTTCTCTGTTCTTTTTCTCTAACAAAACACAAACTTTATCACAAAAAGTGATATTGAAATCAAGCAATTTACAGAGGAACTTGGTACTTACAGTTTTTTTTGGAAGAAGATCACGTGCAGCGCAATGATATCACGTGGCAAGGCAGGAACGGCGAGCCGCGGCGGCAGAGGCGGCGGCGGTGGGGCGGAGGAGGAAGAGCAAAGGGAGGAGATTTGCTTCAAAGGAAAGAAGTAGAGAATTTAGAGAGAGAAGTTTTTTACCGTTATGGTAATAAAATAAATTCCCAAATAAAATCAAATGAGACGATTTTATCATTTATTACAAAATGGAGATTTAGATAATTAGCTTAATTAAGCTCCCACTTAAATTAAGGGAGAATGGCGAGGAGGAAATTAAAATTACCATTTTTAATTATTATTTTAATACATAACGACAATATATCTTTAATTTATAATATTCTTTTAATTTTGTTTTGCTGTTGATTGGTGGCTCCGTTTATGGTCAAAATTTTGATTGAGTGAAACATTAATTGCAAGAAAAATTCGTCATTATTATACGATTCTTTCCTTCATTTAAATGGTTAAATTTTAGGTTTATTTATAGGTGGGATTGAATTTATGTCCACAGATTTTTCTAGACCCGATCCAATTAATCCATTGTCTTATTATCCTAAATTAGATGATAAATGTCTAAATATAATTTTATTTATATGCTACATTTAGATATAAAATAAACATTGGTATGATATCTTAATTTGTTTTTAATTCAAATTTAGGGTGCAATCTTTCGTTCATTTTACTATTTCAATAGGCATTAAACATAAACTAAAATTGACATAAAAATATAATATTAAACTAATAAAGTACAATTTTTATATGAATTCAAATAATATTAAATTTAACATATAAATTATATGATGACCGATAAGGACTTTTATGGAACATTGCATAAATTTACAATATTCTCACRAATAAATCCTGCAAAATAAACGTGGTTATCAAAATATTCCCAGATATCTTTATAAATTTCCCTACAAAATAAACGTGGTTATTTGAAATTTCGAACATATGAGATTCCAGGCATCTGTAGATGTTGGGCATCTATATTCCCAAAAAACAAACGGCCCCTAAAGTTAAAGTTTTAACTATTGGGGATTAATCTTCCAATTTTACCTATGTTAACTAATACTTTCATCCATGACTTGACAAGAAATTTATATTCAACATGTGTCTTTTTCTTAAATATGATGGTTAGAAGACAATATAAAAAAAAATGTTACTTCATAGAGTCTTTTATAATCGTAGAAATTTTCGCAATGATAACAAGTCTTACCATTGAGATCGGTAAAGATCTAAAATGATTCGAGGTTTAACAATATTAAAGAATTGTAAAGAAATATTCGTAGGACGAACAGACCAAGTATTAAAATATTAGAAAATTTTCTACAAAAGAACTAAATAGAAAATATTGTAGCCATAAAAAAGAGTGGTTGGTTTCAACAAAGGAGAAAATTAAATCCTAAATAGACAAGTCTTTGCAAGCGTTTGACTCTACCAATGAAACTTCCATAACTTATGACGTGGCATGCCCTCTAAGACATGTTCCATATTTATCACATACACTTCAATCACAACCACTCCAATCGAAGATAATTTATCTTAAGAAAGAAGAATTTGAGTCAAAGAATAGGTTGGTGGGAAAAGCATTTATGAAATTTTGATTGTGTCGGGTTTAAATAGTATTTTGATCACAGTAATCTCGATTTTTGTTCATTTTAGTTCATTCACTTTTACAACGTCTGTTTTGGTCCCTTGTACTTTTAAAAAGTGACAGTTTTAGTCATTTTATTTTCATTTATCTCATTTCTGTGTATCAATCACAATTTTAATGTAACACTTTACTAGCTAAATTTCTTGAAACATAGTTTTATACATGTGCATTAAGAAATGTTCATTGTGTATAAAGTTTTGCAAATAGAGACCAGAATGGTTACTTTTTAGAAGTACAGGGACCCAAACAAACGTTTCGAAAATACATGGATTAAAATGAAAGAGTAGAAAGTATAAGAACTAAGATAAACTAAAGTCGAAGGTACCGTTACCAAAATAATATTTCAAAGTTGAGAAGGAAGACTACAAACTATGGAATTGGTTGAATGTTGATGGCTTCCTTTAATGCGTCATGAGAGGGAAAAGTAAATTCTGAAGAATGCATAATTAATAAAAGGACGAGCCATATAGTTAATGAAAAGGAGAAGTGGTTGGTGTGTACTTTCGTTTTATTCGAAAAGTAATAACGGTTAGGTTCATGATATCCCTACCTATCGCTAAGCATCTAAGTTTTATCCAATTTAGATTTGTATAGCACACGCACGTTTAGGGTTGTAGAACTTATGTTTGATTTATGGAATTTGTGATTTATAAAGGTTAGTACGTAGTATAAAAAAGTGAGTTTCATATGTTATGCTAGAAAATCTAGATATGTGTAGCACGAGTTTGAATGGTACAAAAGAAGAATGAATTATAGAAATCTAGAGTAGTGTAATTTATTTTGAGCTATGAGATTTGTGATTTTTTAATGGTGGTGAGTAAGAAGATACCTACTTAACCCGTCAGTGTTTAGCTTGAAAACCTAGTTTTTCTACAAGAGAGTGAACAATAGCTAGAAATCTAGTGTCGTGTAACCTTTATGATATGCAAAAGTTATAAGGAAAGTATATATATGAAAGTTTACATAGCTCATGAAATTAACCAATTCCATTTCTTGAGTTCAATAAGGACGAGATATGATTTTGATCCTCTAACTTAAGGAGAGGTTTCTAATTATTGCTTAATTAACTAAACTATATTTATAACTATCATGGGTGGTTTATTGGTCCAAAAGAACTAGGATTAGTTAAGAGGAATTAGGTTCAAAAACCCATTATTATAACTATTTATAAAATTTTATGGAGCGATAATATCCTTTTTAAAACTTGATAGACATCAAACTCAGTGATCCTTCATCCTTAGAAGGTAGGAGTTGCTTGCCTGATATAGTTGATTAGTTGAGATATGCGGAAAATTCAATCTTTATTGGTTCATTAAGTATTATGTCAAATAAGTTTATCATCGTCCAATTTAGTATTTACTATAAAATATATCCCCACTAAGGATTACATTGAAAAAAAACTCAAATATGCTAATTTTATTTTATTACCTGTCATAACTCAAATAGTCAAGGCACATATTATCGACCAAGATGTGAGAGATTCAAATCCCCACCCCATGCATCGTTGAACTAAAAAAATATTTTAATAGCAAACAACGAGCCTATGAGTATTTGAACCTGAGTATCCGAGAAAAAACATAACATTTGATAAAAGAACAAGAAATCCTTTCGAACAACGTAAGTCTCCCAAAAAGTTTAATACATATTATATTCAATAACGGTTTTTTGAAATATTTAGCGAAGAAGTGACATGACTTGACTCGTTTGGTTAGGATCTACATTTTCAACCCTAAATATTTTTTAAACTTATTTTTCTTTTCTAATGATTATTAAACTCACTCTCAAGTCTCAACTATATTCTTGTTGTTAATATTTATATGCGTTAAAATAATAATAATAACAATAATAATAAAAAACTTCAATACTACAACATTAATAATACTGACATGTTTGTAGCTGTATCATGTAAGGAAAAATTTTGTTTTGTTGTTTTCTTTTTTAGTAAATTATAACTTCATCCCTAAATTTTAAAATGTGAGTAATTGAACTTTAAAAAGTACTTGCAGTAAGTCCTAGACTCAAAATATTTGACTTTTTGAGTCAAGTATATCTATAAATTAAAAAAAAGGTGTCTAGTTAATCTCCAAACTTTTAATTTTGTATCTAATACTTGCCTCATAAATGAGGAATCTATTAGATGCAAAATAAGAAGCACCGAGACCTATTTAACTAATAATTTATAAAATAAAACAATATGATAAAATGAGGATTTGTAGAGACGTGTACGGAAAATAATTTGATTTGAAACTAGAAAATCTAAAGGAAAATTTTCTAGTACTATGAAAGTATAGATACTCCTTCCATTTAGCATCTGCTACGTCAGCACATATTAAAAATAATGATCCACCAACAATAGGATTAGCACATGGACATCTACGAAAAATCTTAGTACTGCGCAAGGTTTTAAATGTCGATATCGATAGATATTTCTATAAAAGTTAGAAAAATTGAAAAATGGTAAAAAATATTTAAATTAACAAATAAAGATTTTCTTGTTTCTAAATTAGTTAAAAATAATTAATATTAATATTATGTATATATTAGCGACATTTCGTTGATATTTTTTATATTTTGTCGATTTTCTTGTACCATGATGGAAATGTCGATTTGTCTCTCATATCGATGTCAAACTTGTTAAGGATCCCTCATTGATATGAAAATGGATCTTAAGTTTATAATAGACATGAGCTACTCTTCGAACAATGATTTGAAGGGACATGTTAAAGATCTCATATTGATAAAAGAAGTTTCTTAGACATTTTTCGCGGCACTCGGGAAAGTATTGAAKTGCCTGCTCTTCAAACCACTCAAGCCATTTGACCAATGAAAGATCAGCACACACACTGCTTGGCATTTATTTCTCTCTCTGAGGAATTAAATATGAGGAGTAAATATTTGCCCCAACTCCCTGATTTCCTAACCAACACAGCACACTACCATTTTGAATCCCTTTTTTGTTCACTCCAAATGCTGTGTCTCTGTTTGAAAAGCTCCAATTTCTTGCTGGGAAGATGCAGCAGAAAGCAGCAGCCATGGGCATGGATGGAGTGAGAAGCAATGTGAAAGTTATTGAGAGTGCAAGAAGAAGATTGAGATGGCCTTTTGATGGGGTTGTGAGGTTTTTGGGTCTGGTTTTTACTTTGGTTGCTGCTGTGATTGTGGGAGTTGATAATGAGTCTAAGATTATTTCTGTTACTCTCATCAAAAGCTTGCCTCCTCTCCATTTTTATGCCTCTGCTAAATGGCAATACATGTCTGCTTTTAAGTAAGCTTCAATCTCTCTCTGCCTTCTTAGTGTTTGATAAAATGCCTGAATGGAACTTCTCGCTGTAAAGCCATTTGGTAGACGGTAGTGTCTCGCTATGCATTATGTTATGTTGTTCTTAGCCCTGTTTTGTGTTGAAAATAGAGTGAAAACATGAGTTGGTTTTTTTACACGGTATCTGTGGCTTTGTTTGTGGCTGAGCCGTTGTGATCTTCTTCTCAATACCCTCTTAAAATGCCTACAACACGATGTGTTATGTTATTAGACTTCTTTGATGTTTCGAAACCGCGTTCTTTTCACTTTCGTTATGTTTGTGGCCGAGCCTCATGATTTTCTTCTAAATACCCTGAAGAAATGCCCATGACGCCATACGTTATGTTGTGTTATTCGACTTCTTTTATGTTTTGGAGCCGCTTTCTTTTCATTTTTCGTTATTTTCATGGTCGAGCCTCGTAACTTTCTTCTAAACACCCTCTACGGATGCCTACAACACTACATGTTATATGTTATTTGACGTCTTTTTATGTTTCGGAACCGCTTTGTTTTCACTTTCCTTTTGTTCATGGTTTTGCCTCATAATCTCCTTCTAAAATGCCTACACAATATGCTATATGTTATGTTATGTGGCTTGTTTTTTACTTCAAACTCCTTTCTTTTCACTTTTTGATTTGTTTGCGGTGATTAAGTCTCATAATCTTCATTTGCTTAGGTACTTCGTGGTGTCGAATTGCATAGCATGTGCGTATGCAGCTGTGTCGTTGGTGTACTCGTTCGTAACCAGAGGTTACGAGAATAATCCATCGAGATCATTGTTGCTCATAACCTTCGACCTAATCATGGTGGGGCTATTGTCCTCAGCCGATGGCGCTGCTGCAGCCATAGGAGTCATCGGTCGAGCCGGGAACTCACACATGCACTGGATAAAAGTCTGTGGTTTCTTTGAAGGCTACTGTCACCACTTCACAGCTTCCCTTGTCATCTCCATTGCTGGTTCTGTCATGTTTCTTTGTTTGGTTGTGCTTTCTATTCTGAATCTTCACAAAAAATGAAATTAGGAGATTGAATGTGTTTGTTTTTGGTAGGTGTTACTGGATTTGTACTAGAAGTGTATGGTTTGAAGTAAATATGCTCCTTTTGACTGATTGGTGCATTTTATTAACTATTATTATAAAGATAATTAACCTTCAAACTTGTGCACGATGAGAAATTACACCCTGTTTTTCCATAGACGTGAATTTTTAGGTCAACTTATACAAATCTCGAATGATATTCCTAGTTTGAATCTATACATATGGTTGATAAGAAAATTTGTAGAATATTAAATCATATGTAAGTGGGACACCCTAGTTTGAAACACGTTATTTTTCTTTTTCCTTTTTCATGCTACTCTACGGTACACTAGGTCAACTCGTAGTCAAGCTAATTTTCCTTTTTAATGCAACTGCTACGGTACTTTATTTAGGATGTGCTATAATACAATCATCTCTCAACCGTGTAAAAAGAAATGATCACAAATGAGATCGCTATTGCCCATCTTATGAGTCCATTCTCGTCGCATATTCTTCGTCTTTATTTCCACTTTCCACATTACTTGAAATCAAATCTTATATTAAATACTACGATCCAGACGGTTTTTAATTTAGGAACAACATTCTCTTTGGAAAAAGATTGGGTGATAAATAGTTCAAAAAGCATAAATTTTGCATATATTTTTAATAACCACCGGACTATTTATTTGATTTTAGTTTACATTAGACTACATTTGATAAAGTGTTGAATTACATAAAGTAAAATACACCAAATATGTTGGTTTTTGGGTATAAACATTGGTTACTAAATATCGTTTTAGTTTAAATTATGGAGCTCTCTTTCGAAAGTGTTTTGTAATTACCGGTTAGATTCTATTCTATTCCTGGACTTATGTTTTTTGTATGTCCATGCATATTTGTTTTCTATTAAATTCAGTTTCTTATTTAAAAAAGAAAAAAAAATCATTTTAGTTTAAATTGAAAATAGCTGATGTAATTTTTTAAATTGACCCTGGATATTGTTCTCATTTTAAATTGTGGGAATTACTCTCTGTTCATCTCTATCTTTGCAATGCAACCTGCATCAAATCTAAACTTATTTCTATTCTCAACGTTAAATAAACAAGATACCATAATTCCAACTCCTAAATTTTAGTAAACACAGTGCTAAGAATATTGATCATCTTTCAAAACCTATCACCATTAATTGCATTCAATCACATGGAAATCTGTTAGGTATCTAGAGTTTATTTACTTATGAGAATACCGAATCCGACGTTCGACAGGGTTAGGAACTCGTCAAAACGAGAAAGAACTAATTTTCAGTACTACACTTTCCTATTTCTACCATAAACTCTCACAACTAGAGGCTTAACATCAACGTTCCCTTTTACTGTTTCTTGTTTCTACTTCTCAATCAAAAACAGACATGTTTGGTAACCAATCTTTTTCTCATTCCTAAATTTTGAGAAACGTTTCCAAAAAAGAACCAATTTTTGGAAACTACAAAAAGTAGTTTTTGTTTTTGTTTTTGTTTCTAGATGCTAGGTAGATAAATAATAAATCGCATGCTAACTTGTATGTGATAAAACTATGAACCGGTGGCACTACCATATATCTGTACACTCTCATGTCCTAAGTAAGAAACGAGAACATTACGGCCCTTAACATCCATCCCCCGAACTATATCCTTTTTAAGAGAAATAAATAATCATTCAACTATCTATTTCTTGCTATATTTGAGGTTCAAGTTTTTAGACCAGGATTCATTAAGATTTATGATATACTCACATCGGCATAAGGTATCTAATATGATATAATATTTTTTCAATATGAATATTAAATGATACAATGAAAGAAAAAAAAAATCTGGGATTCTTCCTAATGAAGATAACACCATTTCACTTCATGTTGCACTATAAACTTCCCTTCATGGGTTTAGCCAATCTTAGTCAGCCTCTGAACAAAACGGGTTGACTTCCTAAATGGATCAAATGACTCCAATAATCAAACTTTCAACAAAAAACCTAATTGTTAAGATTAAGAGAGCCCCATATTTGTTGTTTACCTTCAGTTTTCATTAATGATCTCCAGTAGAAATCCTCCTAGTATTGAATGAATTGCACTGACTGCACTTGTGTCCCAAAATGTGAAAACGAACTTTGCTCGTATGGCTGCAGTCGTTGCAGAGAATCGATACCTGTTTAACCCGGTAGTTGGTTTAAGTTAGAAGACTTGTAACATGCAGAGTGATAAAGAAGAACACATAGCTTGTGGTAATCTAAACGTGTAAACAAGAAACTACCTCATGGCTGTATTCTTCAGGCATTGGTGTGCAGTCAATCTATAGATAAGATGGAAAGATTTTAAAATTTAAGACCATATGTAGCAAAAAAAGATGTAAGGTACAGTAAAGATAATTCAGAATCCAAAGAAACTTTGGAATTTCACTACCAGAACTTGACAGAAGAAGAAATAGAATACCATAATATATCAACTAGCTAACAGGTAATGGGTAAATAAGATATGAGGAAAATAATTCGAAGAAACCATTGTTCAAAGAAGAACATAATTTAAGTTCGTAGACAGAGCAAGTCAAAAACATATTCGCCCGAAACAGAATGTATTTAGCTCTGGCCTGCTATTTTCCTCTTTCATCTTTATTGTATGTTACTGTCTCTCTATCCCTCTCAACCCAACTGGAATATATAACTAAAGCCTTGAATCTACACTCCTATCTTAACTTTTTTTCTCTCACTTCATGGAATTTCTAATAAGATAATAAGTCTGCAACCACCAACTTTCTAAGAATCAACCCAATGCTATAGACAGAGACTTGGGTAACGTATAAACATACATCTAAATCATGAAAAAGAAAGAAATGAAAGGATCAGTCAGGAGGTCGAAAAGTGGGTACAATATATAATGATAAAATATAGATTCTAAACTTGCTAAAACTTATGTGAAGCCACCTGTTCCACCATGTTCGCTAACTGCAGAAACCTCTCTAAGGATTAAAATGAAAGTTATCTAATTGCCTTGCACAACTAAGAATTTACAAATAAACCTATAGAAATGTGAAACAAAAGAGAAACTGCACACCTCCATTTTCAGCAATGCCCAGCTTGCAGACATGTCCATAACTGTCTTCGAGCAGATAGGACAACGGTATCTGAGAGACAAATGTTAATACATTAGAATTGGAGAAGAAGTGGAAATCTGTAATATTCAAAATAAGAAACTAGAGCCTCTTTGGTTTGAGAATAGAAGGCAATGGATATAATAGAAAATTTGAGTTGTGTTTTGTATTTTCCAAGTTTTTGGAAATATTTTGAAAGTAGATTCAGAAACTGGATTTGAATAAAGAGTTTGGATTACTGATTCTGCGATTCCATCTCCCTGAAACAATCCAAATGTATTGTGTGACCGCAGCGCATAACAGTTGTGTCTTTTATTGAGTCAAAAAGAAACTGCAGGCATCAACAAAATTGTTAGAAGAGAACAGTTTAGATTGTACTCCCACAGAAAACATATATTCTGAAATCACAAACCTCATAACAGATAGGGCAAAAACTTTTCATTGAATTCTCAACACACAAGTGGTTATCACGCAGAGGAGTGGAATAGCAAGATCCTGAAAACATCACAAGAAGGAACGAATTAGTTGCATTAACACTGAAAACATCACAAGCAAAAAACTGATGGAAACTGCATGCAGTATGAGCACAATACTACTTTCATTCTTCTAAATAAACCATTCAATTCAATTATTCACCTTTTACCAATGCATATCAATCTTATGTGAATGTGCGAACGTGGTTTATTACATACGAATGAGGACTTTACAGACAAACACACAACACTCTTCTGCTACATACTGCAAACAATAACATAATACTAGTTTATAACAAAACATCAAGATAGTTGAATAACATACCACATTTTTCACAGTGAAAGAAATTCTCTCGGCCACCAACTCTAAAAATCGTATAACAAAAAAAACTTGTGTTGAGAAACATAACAGAAACAGCTGAATTACATAAGAATACGCAAACAGCACACTAACCTACAGATACCACATGCATCACAATGAAACTGCTTCTTCTTGGTCTGCATTCATAACAGAAACTATCAGTATATAGGATAAAAAAATCATTCCATTCCACATTTCAAACTTTTAAAGTTGTTCAAGAAAGAGAAGGGGGAAAAAAAGACAGGTTGATGGAAACTTCTCTTACATCATCATCAAAGAATTTGCAGATGTCGCAAAAGTATTCTCCCATATTAACATTACACTTTCGACAAACCTTGGCAACCTAAAATGTACAAAATTGAAACGGTTAGCAGAAAAAGAAAAGGAATGGAAAAAAAAGGAATAAATCAACGCAAGGAACAAAATTAGCCAGAAAAAAAGCCCCCAAACCTCTTGCTCTGTATTGCAAATCAAGCAAACCACCTAAAACATCAATTCCAGAGCAAAATTGATCAACCAAACAAATCCCATCAGATACGATTACTCAAAAAAATCAATAAAACAGTGTACTTAAAAGGATTATAAGAAACATACTTGTCTAACGTCCTGCCGAACAAGTTCATGACGGTCCTTCGGATTGCTCAGCGAGCTCTAAAATCAGGGATAATTAGAGAAAGATTCAGAGAACTTCTTTACAGAATTACTCAAAGCTCCACTTTAACAAACATAAACGCAATCCTTTCTAATGCATCTCTCTATATCAAACACACGCACGAAACGCAAGGACACAGAGAAGAGAGAAATACCATGGCCTCGTTGTGGCAATGGCGACAGGTAAAGATTCGGTCGCAGCATGGGGCTCGGATTCTGCATCGTCTCCTGTAATGCTCGCATCTAATAGAAATCAAAAACAACTTACTGGTCATGAAAGCAAGAACAATAACTCGGTCAAAAAAACCAAGGAAACCTCGAGTTGAGACAACAATGGAGGAAAGAAATTTCATACCCGTGCTGAAATTTTCCGAAATCTTCTCTCCTGGCAGATTGAGGCACAGAGGAGTCCTCTTTCTCCATTGGAGACCGCCCAGTTCGTGCTCCTCGATTTGAGAAGAATTATCACAGGACCAAAAAATTCTAAGTTGTTTTACGTTAAATTGTATAAAATACCCCTCAACTCTAGGACAGTTTTCTTCGATGCCCTAAACTTTTTGAAAATTTCAATCTTACCCTTAAATTTTAGATTTATTGAAATTAACTTTTCCATTAAAATGAAAAGAAATTAATAGAAAAGATAAGTGATCGTGACCGGTAAAATGGTAGTACAGTACGTGCCAATTATACCCTTGAATTTTATGGTAGGTTTCAGTTATACCCTTATCGTTTATTTTAACATTTAACTTTTGAAATTTTTTCAAAACAGTTTCGGTAGCTTCCAAATCGAGATGAAAATAGAATGGGATGATTAGTTGAAAAATAAAGGTTACACCCCAAAACGAGCATAGTTCAGCGGTAATTGGTATCTATCTCCAACCAAGAGGCTGTGAGTTCAATCCCGCAAATCTTGTTTTTTTTTTACTTCAACATTATAGTATTTGAACTTCAGATTTTTAGTCTATCACATGCGGCAATTAGCAAATGTAAACTTATCCTAATTTCATATGCATAAAGTAAATGTGTATTTTTAAATATAGAAAATTTTTTAAATTTTATACAAAATACCATAGTCCAAAATCAACTTCAAAATCAAATGTAAAATATATTTAAAAAATTAATTTTATGTTATATTTGCAAGCGGTGATATTTTCTTAAAATACATATTACATATGCTATTAAAGTGAAAATTCTTTCTCTATTTAATTTTCCCATTCAACCCTCCTTTTAGACCTGGCAAAAAAAAACTTGTTAAAAAAACACATTTAAACAAGTTATTACAATATCATTGTTTAATTTGTAATTTTAGCAATTAATCTATTAAATTTACTAAATCATTACTATTAAAGCCTAATGATATAATTTTTGTTAGTACTATTGCTATAATTTTACAAGAGAGGAGCTGTAAATTAAATTGAGGATGTTACAATTAATTAAACATTCAATATTCTAAAATATAAATAATAAAATGATTTATTTTCATATATATTTAAACGCATCTAAATTTTCAAAAATAAAAAATTAGCCATTGCTCTTTAAATCTGCCAAGTTTTTTACATTAAACAAGGGTTTGACTTTTCCACATTAAATTAATTTAGATCTTATCCTTTCCAAACAACCAACATTATTGTAAATACTTTGCAAAAAGAAAAAAAAAACATTATTGTAAAGAGCAATGCCTGTCTTGTTAGGTGGACGTCTACTCTCTTTTATATTAAAATTTTATTTTAACATCTAAAATAGAAACAATTTATGTTTAAATCTCAATTTGATTTTTAATGGAATCATGGGCTTAAGGTTTATTTCCGGTAATAGATCCGTATTTGGAAAGTGTCTAATATTAAGGATCTCATGTTGGAAAGAAAAGGGACTTACAATAATTTATAATAGACATGGACTACTCCTCTCATCGTCAATTGATTTTGAGATAGAAACCATGAGTATTGATATGGTATCAAAGCTAAGATCTGGTTAAGAAATCTACCTAATTGAAGTTGACATTTTTTTTAATTGGTAAACTTTACATAAACTGATTACTCAAGTTCATCATTAAAACTTTTATTTTAAAGTTCAACATCTCAGCATGAGGCTTTCGAACTCTCTTATTGTTGAAGACAGAGTTGTTCCTTTGATTTCAAATTGCCGAAAGGATTTCTATGTGCATGGATACTCGAAATTAACGATGACGTAATTTTCTTAACTGGGATACATGTTGTTGTTATGACAAATAATAACCCCGTTATATATATATATATATATATATATTTGAATTTTAGATCTCAGGGAAAGGAGTAACGTTATAGAAATTTGAACTTTGAACTTCACGAAAAGGATTAATTTCAAGTATTACCGTTAATCTTTTTTTTTAGTACAATATGTTGGGGAGGGGATTCAAACTTACAACCTCTAGGTTGAAGGTATATGCTAATTACCGCTAAGCTATACTCGTTTTGGCATTACCGGTATTTAATCTTTGAACTTTGAATATTTTTAATTACATCTTCAAATATAGAAATATATGAGAATATGTGGTATTTATGAAAAAATAAATAATCATTTCATAATTTCAAAAGGATTAATATTAATATTATGTCAGTGAAATTTTGTTAATACTTTTTATATTTTATTCAACATTGATTTATCCGATGTCAAACGGGAAATTGGACTGAAAAGTAATTTTACCAAATCAAAACTTATGTTTTATAATCTTTTTGACGTGACCATAAATATCAAATTACTTTCATTAGTTTTTCTCTCTTGTTCCCCTCTCGATCTCCTTCTCTGGATTCTTCTCTTGATTCCTTGATTTTGGCTTATCCTTTTCCCCCAAAATCCCATTTAAGAAAAACTACTTAGATTTTTCAAAATATTCAAAATAAATAGATTATAAAAAAAA